TGTGACCTGCCAGGGGAGGCAGTTAGTGTAGACCAGGCAAGCAGAGGGGAGCAGTTGGGGGAGACCAGGCCAGCAGGGGGGACACAAAGGAGTGACCAGACCAGTGTGGGGAGCAGATGAGGTGACCAGGCAGGGAGGCAGGTGAGTGATTAGGAGGCAGCATTCTAGGATTATGAAAGCGATTTTCAACTGCTAGGTTAGCCCCAAACCCTGAAATAAGGGCTAACCTGGCAGTTGGACATCCCTAGACGGGTCCCAGATTGAAGAGGTTACAATTTGGCTGAGGGGACAACCTCCCGCCCTCCCTGCAGGCTGTGCAATAATTTTGTGCACCTAGCTTCTAGTCAATAATAAATTACAAATCAGAGGAAAACTATAAAGTTGACTCAGGTGGATGATAGCACTTTTAGATATTACACAGATTTGTATTTAAAATAAGGTCATCCTACCTAATAAAAGAGTGATATGCAAATTAAACTTCACTCCACTACACCCACAAGCCATGCTCACCAGTCACACCCACCAGCCAATCAGAGCATGTATGCAAATAAACCCAACCAACATGGCTACCAGGAGGGAGGCTTGGGTTTCCCCAGCAACAGAGGAAGCCAAGCTTTCCATACAGCCTGGCAGGCCCAGGCCTTCACTCAAGGCTAAAAAGTTTCAATTATTAGAAGGTAAACAAATCCAAACAGAAATGGTGGCAGCCACAGAGCAGGCAGGAGAATTGGCTCTGCTCCAGGCTACAAAGTTTCAATTGTAGAAGGAAAATAAATTCCAGATACCAGGGACTCTGCTTGGTCACCTGGGGCGTGGCTGCCCTGCAAACCACCACAGTCCCTCGCTCAGGCTGCCCCATGCCCCAAATGAAACCCCACCCTGATCTGGGACACCTTTCAGGGCAAACCAGCTAGCCCCCACCTGTGCACCAAGCTCTGTCCTATCTAATATGCAGATTGACAATCACTCCAAACACACAATATGGATGCCCCCATGTGGTCAAAGTTCTTTCCCCCATGCGGACACAAGATAGCCACCACAAGATGGCCAGCAGGGGAGGGCAGTTGGAGATGATCAACCCTGCAGGTGAGGGCAGTTAGGGGTGACCAGGCTGGCAGAGGAGGGAAGTTGGGGGCAAACAGGCTAGCAGGGAAGCAGTTAAACATCAATCAGGCGGGTGTGGAAGTGATTAGGGTGATAAGGCTGGCAGGCAGAAGTGGTTAGGGGCAATCAGGAAGATAGGCAGGTGAGCAGTTGGGAGCCAACAGTCCTGGATTGTGAGAGGGATGTCTGACTGGCCTATCTCTGTCTAAATGGTCAAGTCAGACATCCCTCCAGGGCAGGTGTCAGCAACCTAGGGCTCCAGAGCCACATGGGGCTCTTTTGAAGCTTTGCCATGGCTCTGACAGCAGGGCCGACACTAGCAGGGCCGATAACAGGGGGGCGGGGAGGACAGGGGGAGGGAGTTGTATCACTTACCTCCACCGCCTCTGGCGCTCCCGGCACTCTGTGTGGCAGGTTGCCAGCGACTTAGCGTCATTAGGCAACCACAGCGTCCCTGTCCTAGCCCAGCCTCCTCCCGCACATCACAGCGTGATGTCACTGAGGGCACGCTGAGCGTGCACCTCTGAGCTGGGGTGGAGGAGACTGCTGCGAGGGGAAAGAGAGGTGCTGACAGAGGGGACACTGAAAAATAAAAAATAAAATAAAAAGAGCAATAAAGAGAAAAAAGGGAGAAGGAAAAAGAAGAAGACAGAGAGGACAGAGAGGACAGAGAGGACTGGAGAAAGAGAAAGAGAGGGCTTGCAGTGTGACTGTCACTGGGAGTTGGGCCTGTATAGTGAGTGGAGAACAAGAGCCTGAAAGAGAAAAAACAGCAGCCAGGTTAAAAAAAAAAAATTAACAGATACTAATTTTTGTTGTTGGTTAAGCATGGGAGACAGGTCCTTTTGTAAGGTGTACACTGTAGGAAATTTGTGGCTATTATATAAAAAATTATTTTTTAAATAAATAAATTAATTAAATTATTATTTACATTTTTTATTTAATTTATTTTATTTAATTTACAGAATATTGGGGAGCCTGATGAATTATTTTTATGGCATGCATGGCTCACTAATTAATTTACAAAATATTGGGGGCCTGATGAATTGTTTTTTTAAAAAAAAAAAAAGGTGATTTGTTAATTTAACATTTATTTCTATGAGGAGGAGTAATTCTGAGGGCGTCAAACAAAGAAATAATAAAAAAAAGTGGCAAAAATTATTTTTATGATGAGGAAGAGTAATTCTGAGAGGTTCGAAAAATAAATAATAATTAAAAAGTGAGAAAAAATATTTTTATGATGAGGAGGGCTTCTTAGGAAAAGAAATTATTACCAAAATATGACCAAAAAAAAGTTATTTTTATAATGACGAAGATGACATTGGGCTCTCGTTATTAATTATTATTTACATCAGGCACTGATTATGATTTATGGTACATTGGGACCCTGATTTTGTGATTTCTTATTACGTCCCTGTTTTCGACCCCCCGGTAGGCCAGCCATGGATAAAGGCAAGAAGAGAAAAATTTCTGAAGAAAATAGAGTGTTTAATGATACATGGACTGAATCATTTGCATTCTCTACTGACGAGACTGGTTTACCAGTATGCTTAATATGTGGTGAGAAATTTGCAAACAACAAAAAGTCAAATGTTGCAAGACATTTCCGGAATAAACACACAGCCTTTGCTGAAAAATATCCAAATGGAGATGAGAGGCAAAAAGCCGTTGCAGAACTTATGAGGAAGGTTGATAGGAGCAAAAATAATTTCAAGAAGTGGGTGAAGTCTGCAAATTCCACAACATATGCTAGTTTTGTGGCTGCTCAGGAAATAGTCAAGCACGGGAAGCCGTTCACAGATGGAGAGTAGATAAAAGAAGCATTCATTAAGGTTTCAGAACATCTATACAAGGACTTCAAAAACAAGAATGAAATTGTGCAGAAAATTAAAGACATGCCTCTCTCTGCGAAGACTGTCAAAGACAGAACCCTTAAAATGGCAGAAAACATTTGCAAACAGCAAATTCAAGACATCAATTCAGCTGTGGTGTACTCTATTGCCTGTGATGAGTCCAAAGATAAAGGTGATATTGTACAAATAACGCTGTTCTGCCGATATGTGAACTCTTTTGGGCCACAGGAAGAACTGATTGAGCCGATACCACTAAAAGACCAAACAAGGGGTGAGGATATCTATAAGGCTGTCCTGGACTATTTAAGTGCTGAAAAAATAAACACCAACCACCTGGTCTCAGTGGCTACTGATGGGGCACCGAGCATGAGAGGAGCACAGAAGAGCTTTGTGACTCTACTGCAGAAGGTTCTGGGTAGAACGCTGCTGTCATTTCATTGCATCCTGCACCAAGAGGCATTGTGTGCTCAAACATTTTGGCCAGAATGCACAAAAGTGATGGATGTGGTCATTCAGATTGTTAATAAGATAATGGAAAAGGGTTTAAACCACTGCCAGTTCCGTTTGCTATTGGATGAGGTGGAAAGCATATATTCTGACCTCCTGCTCCACAACAAGGTCCGGTGGCTGTCCAGAGGCGAGGTGCTAAAACGCTTTGTCGCATGTTTGGAAGAAGTAAAAACTTTCCTGGCCAGCAAAGAGCTCACCTTTGCTGAGCTGGAACAACCAGAGTGGCTGGAAAAATTACATTTTATGGTAGACATGACAGCACATCTAAACACACTAAATACAACCCTTCAGGAGACAGGAGGCACAGCCCTCCACATGCTGGAGAAGGTTTTGGCATTTGAGCACAAGTTGACAGTGTTTGTCAAAGATTTACAGAGTGGTACACTGTCTCACTTTCCCTATTTGAGAGAGTTCAAACAAAGTCATGATACGATAAATTTGGAATATTTGAGGTCTGCAATTACCACAATGCAAAGTTCATTTGGGAAATGATTCTGTGAGTTCAGAGAGGAAAAAACCACATTATCCTTCCCTGTCACTCCCCTGGCGATTGATCCATCCCTATTGAATATGACTGCATTTGCAGGTATAAGTCAACCTGATCTTGAGATGGAACTGGCCGATATAGCCGACAAAGATATATGGGGGTCCAAGTTCAAATGCTTGACCGCTACTCTTAAGGATGTTGCCCGTCAGAAGGCCATTCTGGCTCAGAATCATAAATGGAGTGATATTGAAAACCTTCCCAAACAGGACAAACTTGTATTTGAAACATGGAATGCCATCCCCAACACTTATATAAACATGATAAAGTAGGCATTTGGAGTCCTGTCGATCTTCGGCTCCACATATGTATGTGAGCAGGTCTTCTCCAACATGAACTATATTGAAAACAAACATCGATCATGCCTCACAGGTGACAACTTGCAAGCCTGTGTGAAAATGAAGGTAACGTCTTACAGCCCTGATGTGCAGACACTGTGCACTGAGGTTCAGGAGCAAAAATCCCATTAACCAGGTAAATTAAATATTTTAATTAGCTATTAATTTGCAAAAATATATTTTACATTGTTAAGTGAAAAAGTCCTTTTTTTCTTCAGATTGACAGCAAACTGCACGATCCAGTATATAGCATTAAGGTAAGAAACAATATATGTAGTGTTATATTTGTTTTAAATGTCGCAATGGTTTTGCAGCTCCCAGGTTTTTTTTTTTCCTTCGGAAAGGGTCCAAGTGGCTCTTTATGTCTTAAAGGCTGCCGACCCCTGCTCCAGGGGGTCCCAAATTGGAGAGGGTGGAACCTGGACTGAGGGACGGACACCTGCCCACCCCCACACACAAATTTTGTGCACCAGATATCTAGTTACTTTATAATTTTATGATTTACCATAAAATTCTCTGACTGGTCATCAAATATATTTACTTTGGGTGTGTGGGTTATATTTTAACTTTTTTATTGATATCCGTTTGGACATAAGCATGAGTCGTGGGAATGGGATCGGCCATTTGAGAAGAAGCCTGTGTGCCTCCAGGATGCCTAGGAAGTGGATTTCCGTTCTGCTGCTGCTCCAGCTGAGTTGCCACTTCAGCCCTGGGGGCTGTGGGAAGGTGCTGGTGTGGCCACCAGAATACAGCCATTGGATCAACATGAAGACAATCCTGGATGAACTTGTGCAGAGAGGTCATGAAGTGACTGTTCTGACATCTTCAGCTTCAATTCTTATTGATCCCAATAAACCATCTGCTATTCAATTTGAGATTTTTCCTACATCTTTAACAAAAGATGATATGGTTTCTTTTTTCATGAAGATAATCAATAAATGGACATATGATCTGCCAAAAGATACATTTTGGACACATTTTTCATTACTGCAAGAAATGTTTTTGGAAGGTTCTGACATGGTTGAAAAGCTCTGTAAAGATGCTGTTTTTAATAAGAAACTTATGACCAAACTACAAGAATCAAGGTTTGATGTTGTTCTTGCAGATGCCGTTGTAGCCTGTGGTGAGGTGCTGGCTGAGCTACTTAAAATACCTTTTGTGTACAGTCTCCGTTTCTCTCCTGGCTATAAAATTGAAAAGTTTGGTGGAGGACTCCCATTCCCTCCATCCTACGTACCTGTTCTCTTTTCAGAATTAAGTGATAAGATGACATTCATGGAGAGGGTAAAAAATATGATCTATGTGCTCTATTTTGACTTCTGCCTGCAAATACATAATGAGAAGAAGTGGGATCAATTTCTGAATGAAGCACTAGGTAAGCTATGTTTTTACTTGGTAGCATGAAGTCCTAACTTTCCTAGTGCTTTAGAAGGTGAGTTGGTATAAATATTGACAGGAATTTGTCTTTTATAAATGAAATGATTAAATAATCTATAATAATAAAAGCATAACATGCTAATTAGACTGGACAGACGAAAAACCTTCTGGACGTCCTTCCAGATGACCTCTGGATGAAGCTGGAACTGTGAGGACCTGCAACTACCAGGGCCAAGCCCTCTTACATGAATTTCATACACTGGACCTCTAGTAATACATAATGATCTTTTAATCTCATAAATACAGGGAGGAGTTCCCCAAAAAACTGTATACACACTTTCTTTCTTTTCTAATTTAACCCATTGGAGTTAATAATTATTCAAAGTGTGTCCATATTTGTGATACACCCTATATCACAGAAATGCTTAAATTATAAGACTAGTTTGAACCCTGGGATACACTGGTATGGGATATTCCAGGAAGTTAGAGATCCCAAATGAAAGCACTGAGGAGTTCCTTCAGCAATCACATATCCATTCTTCTTTGTTGGTTTGTAATCGGCTTCATTTTTTAGAAGAGTATTAGGTCCACAGCAATATTAAGTAGAGATTTCCCATATATGTCCTGCCTCCTTTACTGTCAAACATTGCCCATCAGAAAAGTACATTTGTCACAACTGATGAAAATATACTGACACAACATTATTATGTAAAGTCCATAATTTATTTTAAGGTTCACTCTTGGCATTGTATATTCTGTGATTTTTGGACAAATTTATAATGTCATGAATCCACCATTATAGTATTGTAAAGAGTAATTCACTAAAAATCCTCTGGGAAGTGGCCATTCCCATTTATCCTACATATTAAATTTACTATAATTTTTTTATCTTCAATGAAGGCATTAGAAATATCACTAAATATTTCAACAAAGCACAAATGTAATTTAAGGAGTTACATATTTTTAGCACAATGTCTATGGACCATAACCTCTGTACCATAAATGCATGCACAATATTTATATTAAAAAATTAAAGACTATATATATATATATATATATATATATAGATAGATAGATATATATATATATATACACACACACACACACACACACGCACACACACACACGCACGCACACACACATATATATATGATTGCTTAGCCCTAGTCGGTGTGGCTCAGTTGGTTTAGGATGGTCCCCTGCTCTGAAAGGTTGCTGGTCTATTTTTTTCCATTTTTTTCTCCTTAGTTTTTTTATTTAAAAATTAAACTGTGTTGCTATTTTTTTTTCTATTTTTTTCTCCTTAGTTTTCTTATTTAAAAATTAAACTGTGTTGCCATACTACCTGAAGGAGTCTTTGAAGATGGAGAAATATGACTCTGTCTCAGATAAGAACCTATAACTCAAAGTTTCTAATGATTATATTGCTTCACTAAGTGCTTATAAATCATCTGTTTTAAACGCCTAAAATATTGTTGAAGGATAAATACATAAATACATAAATAATAACCAAGTTAAACTTTTTGAAAAATATATTTCTTCGTTACAGATAAAATGAGCCAAAATTAAGGGTGAGCACATCTATTTCCATATTTTATGAAAGCTTTCCAACTGTTTTTGGCAAATATTTTTTTCATATACAAATGTTGTTAAGTTCTGAACATAACCAAATGCAATAGTGGCCATACTCTCAAAGAACTCACAATTTACTTGTAAAATCTAGAAATAAGGGAATAGCTTGCTAAATTGTAGGATCCAGACTGAGTATCCTAAAAAAAGGCATTTCTGTGTGTATGGTAGGGTTGATTGACTAAGGAGTTGAAATCACTGTTTACATTTTCATTAGGTGATTTTGAAGCTTTACAGAGCAAACAAATTCATACTTAATTCTTTAGTGCTTAAATAAATGTTTATGATTCTGAATGTACTGATGTGAAATTAGAGTTAAAAGTCTATATAAATAATGTGTGTGCATATACTGTATTTTCAAGCCAATCACTTTTATTTGTATTTATCTTTTAAATATGTTTTTATTCATTTAAAAATGAGAGGATGGGACAGGGGGAGAGAAAAATTGATCCGTTGCCTCCTGTGCAGGGTCCAAACCTGCAACTAGGGCAAGTGTCCTGACCAAAAATCAGACCAGCGACCTTTCAGAGCAGGGGACCACCCTAAACCAACTGAGCCACACAAACTAGGGCTAAGCAATCATGTATGTGTGTGTGTGTGTGTGTGTGTGTGTGTGTGTGTGTGTGTGTATATATATATATATATATATATATATATATATAGTCTTTAATTTTTTAATATAAATATTGTGCATGCATTTATGGTACAGAGGTTATAAGGACATCTTTTTTTTTAATAAATCTTTATTGTTCATATTATTACAGAAGTTCCTCATTTTTCCCCCCTCCACCAGGTTCCCACCCCACCCTCTGCCCTTTCCCAACCCCCAGGTATCCTCATCCATAGGTGCACAGTTTATGTTCAGTCTCTTCCCGCACCCTCCACTCCCCTTTTCCCCAAGAATCGTCAGTTCACTTCCTTCCATACCTCTGATTCTATTATATTCAACAGTTAATATTGTTCATCAGGTTTTGTAATTCCCTTGGTTTTTAATTTCACTTGTTGATAGTTACATATTTGTTGTTCATAATTTTTATCTTTATTTTCTTCCTCTTCCTAAAGAACCCCTTCAGCAATTCATATAATTCTGGTTTGTCGGTGATAACTCCTTTAACTTTTTTTTTATTTGTGAAGCTCTTTATCTGGCCTTGGATTCTGAGTGATAGCTTTGCTGGGTAGAGTATTTTTGGCTGTAGGTTCTTGTTATTCATCACCTTGAATATTTCTTGCCATTTCCATCTAGCCTGCATGGTTTCTGTTGAGAAATCAGCTGACAATTGTATGAGTGCTCCTTTATAGGTTACTACCTGCTTTGCTCTTGCTGCTTTTACTATTCTCTTTTTGTCTTTTGCTCTTGGAATTTTAATTATGATGTGTCTTGGTGTGGTCCTCTTTGGGTTCCTTTTGTTTGGGGTTCTATGCACTACCTGGACTTGTAAGTCTATTTCTTTTCCCAGGTGGGAAGTTTTCTTTCACTATTTCTTTCAATATGTTTTTTGTATTTTGCTCTCTCTCATCTTCTGGGACCCCCATAATTCTGATGTTGGTTTGCTTGAAGTTGTCCCAGAGGTTTCTTATGCTATCTTGAACTTTCTGGATTCTCTTGCCTTCTTGCTTCTGTGGAGGAGTGTCCTCTGGCTCTTTATGTTCCAAATCTTTGACTTGATACTTGTGATCTTCCATTCTGTTTTTATGACTCTGTATAATATTTTTTATTTCAGACAATATTGTCTTTATTTCTAGTTGATCCCTTTTCATATCCTCATAGGTCTCATTTATTTTATCGGCCTTTTCTAGTAAATTCTTTAAAAATACCTTATAAGCGTGGTTTTGAACTCTATATCCAGTTGCTTTTTGTCCTCCATTTCTTTCGTTTGTGATCTGTTTCCTTGTCTCAGCATTTTCGCTGCTTCCCTGAGTTGGTAGGGTGGCTTTGTGTGTTTAGGTGTCCTATATGGTTCAGTGGGTCAGCTTCCCAGTTATCTGAGGTAGACACTCTTGGTGCACCCCTTTGTGTACTGTGTGTAAAGCCTTTTGTAGTTAAGTCTTAATTGTTGTTGGTATAACTGGAAGGAACTGACATCCAGGCCAATTGGCTCTGAGGATCAGCTGTGTCTATGCCAGGAGACAGCCTTATTCAAAAACCTCTATGCTCAGCTTGGATGGGGCAGAGTTTCAGGGTGGAGCCTACAGCCTTGGCTTCCTATCAGCCCTGCCCTATGAGGTTCCTGAGTCTCAGTGTTCCTCAGTGTCCTTTGGTACTCGCTGTAAGCACCTCTGAGAGAAAGGTGCCCTCGAGTTTCTCCCACTACCAGACAGTCTAGTCTCTCCCCCAAGGAGCCCAGAATTGGGGTTCAGTGCAGTTGAAAGTGGGGTTCAGTGCAGTCCAGAGCTTTTGTCTCCTTCCTGCTATGGCAATCCAGCGGCACAGTCAACAGTCCGTCCTCTGCGCGCAATGTGCACAACTCTGGGGCTCTGCTTTTCGCTGCTCCCCTGAGTTTCCACCTTACAGCTTAGAATCCCTCTGTATGAGCCTGGGTCCCCAGGGTCTCGCCCAGAACTGGGGTTCAGTGCAGTCGGAACTGGGGCTCAGCACAGTCGAGAGCTTTTATCTCCTTTCAGCTAGGGAACACCAACCAGGCACTCAGCCGCCCCTCCTCTGCGGCTCCGTCCTCTCCCCACGTGCACACCGTGTCTCCATACCTTAGGCTTTTACAGCTCCTCTGATCTTCCTTCTGGTTTTCTCTTTCCTTCTAGTTGTAAAATTTTCAGTCAGTCAACTTTCCTGTAGTTCTGAATGATGCCCACTTTATATTTTAGTTGTATTTTTTGAAGTTGTTGTGTGAGGCTGCAGTTAGGCATTTACCTATGCCACCATCTTGGTTTCTTTTTTGTGGATGCAAATTCAAGGACATCTTTTTAAATTCTTTATTGTTTAAAGTATTACATATAGTATTACATATGTCTCCTTTTCCCCCCACTGACCTCTCCCCAGCCACCCCCAACTCCAAGCATATGTCCTCACCCCCCGAGTTTCTGTGTCCATTGGTTATGCTTACATGTCTGCATAGAAGTTCTTTGGTTGATCTCTTACCTACCCACCCATGCACCACACCACCCCCACCATCCCTTCAGAAATTTGACAGTCTGTTTGATGATTCTGTCTCTGGATCTATTTTTTTAAAAATATATTTTATTGATTTTTATAGAGAGGAAAGGAGAGGAAGAGAGAAACATTGATGAGAGAGAAACATCAACCAGCTGCCTCTTGCACACCCCCCACCGGGGATGTGCCCACAACCAATGTACGTGCCCTTGACCGGAATCAAACTGGGACCCTTAGGTCCGCAGACCGAAGCTCTTCCACTGAGCCAAACCGGTTTCGGCACTGGATCTATTTTTGTTCATCGGTTTATGTTGTTCATTATATTCCACAACTGAGTGAGATCATGTGATATTTATCTTTCTCCAGCTGGCTTATTTAGCTTGGCATAATGCTCACCAGGTCCATTCATGCTGTTGAAAATGGTAAGAGTTTTCTTATTTTTACAGCAGCATAGTATTCCATTGTGTAGATGTACCACCGTTTTTTAATTCACTCATCTGCTGATGGGCACTTAGACTGTTTCCTAATCTCAGCTATGGTGAATTGTGCTGCTATGAACATAGGGGTGCATATGATCTTTCTGATTGCTGTTTCTGTTTTCTTGGGATATATTTCTAGAAGTGGGATTACTGGGTCAAATGGGACTTCCATTTTAATTTTTTGAGTAATTTCCACTTGGAAATAGATAAGCACTGTTTTCCACAGTGGCTGCACCAGTCTGCATTCCTACCAACAGTGCATGAGGGCTCCTTTTTCTCCACATCCTCTCCAGCACTTGTCATTTGTTAATTTGTTGCTGATAGCCATTCTGACAGGTGTGAGATAGTATCTTGTCATTTTTACTTGCTTCTCTCAAATTATTACTGACTTTGAGCATGTTTTCATGTATCTCCTGGCCTTTAGTATGTCCTCTTTCAAAAAGTATCTATTTAAGTCCTTTGCCCATTTTTTATTGGATTGTTTATCTTCCTTTTGATAAGTTGTATGAGTTTCCTATAAATTTTGGAGATTAAACCCTTATTGGAGATAACATTGGCATATATGTTCTCCCATGCAATGGGCTTTCTTATTGTTTTATTGATGTTTTCTTTTGCTATGCAGAAGCTTTTTTATTTTGATGTATTTGTTTATTTTCTCCTTAGTTTCCATTGCCCCTGGAGCTGTATCAGTAAAGATATTGCTATGATTTGTCTGATATTTTACTGCCTATGGATTCTTCTAAACTTTTTATGGTTTCCCATCTTACATTTAAGTCCTTTATCCATTTTGAGTTTATTTTTGTGAAATTAGTGGTCTAATTTTTTTTTTAATGTGTCTGTCCAATTTTCCCAACACTCTCCATTGAAAAGACTGTCTTGACTCCATTGTACGCTCTTGCCTTCTTTGTCAAATATTTATTGAGCATAATGGCTTGAGTAGAATTCTGGATTCTCTGTTCTGTTTCATGGCTTTATATGTCTATTCTTGTGCCAGTAACAGGCAGTTTTGAAAACAGTGTAAGCCAATCACTTTTAAACATCTTTGGCTACATTACTCTAAGCTCCTTTCAGAAAATTACCTGGCATATTCACATTACACTATTCTAATTTTCACTACTTTTTTTCCCTCTTCAGGAAGACCCATTACATTATTTGAGTTAATGGGGAAAGCTGAAATGTGGCTTATTCGAAGCTATTGGGATTTTGAATTCCCTCGCCCACTCTTGCCAAATTTTGAATTTGTTGGAGGCCTCCACTGCAAACCTGCTAAGCCTCTGCCTAAGGTAAACTATTCCTGTTTGTTCTTTGAATTTTCATTGGGAATGATTCTGTGTTCTTCATTTGGAATGTCTGATCACACGATGAGAAATATGGGAATCTGGGTAAAGTGATTTTAGAAACTCATTTTATACTATTTCAAGAATCTGAATGTCATTATCATTACCAAATAAATAATTATACTTGGGAGGCTTTGGAAATAGAGTCAGTTAAATTAAGGTCTTCCCTATTGAACACATAAGAAAGTGTCAGTCATTCATTCAAATACATTCTTAAAGTGACTGGCATAATCCAGAGATAAGCACTGGATAAGAGAGAAACAGTGAAGACACAATTTCTACCCATAAATACCTAACATTCTATTTAGAAGATAGAATCTATATACATAAAAGCCCAAGTGACCTAACAACCAAACAACTGGTTGACCGGTCGTTATGACATGCATTAACCACCAGGGGGCAGACGCTTACCATATGAGCTGTCCCCTGGTGGTCAGTGCACTCCTACAGTGGGAGCGCTGCACAGCTGACCAACGAGCTTCAGACACCAGGTTCACAGCTGATGAGCACAACTGCATAGTTTGAGCCTGTCTTTCCTCCATGACAGTGCTATTGAGCAGCAGCAGCAGCAGCAGCAGCAGGTAGAGGGGAGCCAGAATGCGCAAGAGGAGTGTGGGCCCAGCCCAGGCTCCTCCCACTGTGTGCACTACTATATCCACCGGGGGTCCCAGATTATGAGAGGGCACAGGCCAAGCTGAAGGACCCAACCGGTGCATGAATCCATGCACCAGGCCTCTTGTATTAGTAATAAAAATTGTGTGAAGAGTAGTATAAAAAGGAAAGACCTCAATGCTAGACAATATCCAGCAGGGATTATAGAAAATATTTTAAGTTATTGATAACTAAGTGGGACCTGAGGCTGTATAGTAGTAGCAGAAAGGAATGAAAAGAAAGGAAGACACAAAAGGTAATGCAAAAAATAATAATAATAATTTCCAAGAAGTCCAAGTTTAGTGTATCAAAAGAAGCTAAATAAAGAGGCAGGTGAGCCTTACCTGGTTTAGCTCAGTGGATAGAGCATCGGCCTGTGGACTGAAAGGTTCCAGGTTCAATTCTGGTCAAGGGCATATACCTTGGTTGTGGGCACATCCCCAATAGGGGGTGTGCAGGAGGCAGCTGATCAATGTTTCTCTCTCATCGATGTTTCTAACTATCCCTCTCCCTTCCTCTCTGCAAAAAATCAATAAAATATATATATATTTTTTAAAAGAAGCAGCCAATTAGTTCATGAATGAATGGCAATAAATGAGGTATCTAGACTACTCAAATGCATAGAAACAAAATAGAATGATAATTACCAGTTCCAATTTGCAAGATGAAAAATTCTTAGAGATATATGAATGAAGATGGCGGTGTAGGTAAACACTCCTAAACGGCTGCCATGCAGAACAATTTCAAAAATACAACTATAAAACAAAACGTCTATCACACAAAAACCAAGGGAAAGCTGGTTGAAAGGAAGCCCTACAACTAGACTAAAAGAGAAAGAGGAGAATTCAGGGCACAAGTGCTGAAAGGCTGAGGTAGGGGGGCGCGGACGCGATAAGGGCTGGTGACAGATCATGGCTGGTGGAGGGCGGTGCTTTTTCAACCCGAAAAGAGACAAGCTCCCGATCTCTCTGAAACCAGTTTCTGGGGAGAGGCTAGTCTGTCTGCCATCAGGTCAGAAAGTGAGGTTGGTTTGCTTGAGAGCTGAGATTGCTGTGCTGTGGTGTGAGACGTGGGAAGACACAGGGATGCGGGGATGCTGGGATGCCATCAGAGAGGTGGCGGACAGGCAGACATCGCTGTTGGCCACACCCCAGCCTGGTGATGCCCTGAGACTCCAGCCTGAGACTCCTCCTGAGACTCTGCCCCGCACAACCTACAAACACATTCAAGATCCAAACAGTGGCTTTTGCATATGAATGGCCCTCTCTGTTGTAGTTTAGCAAATTTGCAACCTGGGGCAAACAAATCCAAGGAGGATAGGATTGTGGTTCCTGCTGTAGCTCCTGCAGTGTGACCTCAGACAGTAGTTGAACTGCACCCCATTGGAGACCCAGAAGCCAGTGTTCTAGTGCTCAGTTTCAATCCCTCACACACATAGATGACACATTTGGGAGACAGACTCAGCGAGCACCAAAGCCCCACTGAAATAAGGCGTGTCTCCAGCGCAGCAGTTCTTCCTTTATAGACACAGCAGGTCTTGAAGAGAATTTGCCTGAAGTCAGTTCCTTCCAGTGTACAAACAGCAATCAAGGCTTAATTACACCAAGACTGCACTCAGCTCACAAAGGCGACCACCTCAGGTGATTGGGGAAGCTGAACTACTGGCCCCTATAGGTCACCAACCACACAATACCACTTCATCAACACAGGGAGACAGCCAAAATGAGGAGACACAGAAGCATGTCACAAATGGGAGAGATGGAGGAAAGTACACTACTGGACAACACACAGTTCAGTATCACATTTATAAGATTACTCAAGAATCTTCTAAAAACCTTTGAGAATCTTGATGAGACCTCCAAGAAGCTCTGTGATATCTTCAAGGACCTTAATGAGAATACCAAAAAAATGGAAAAGGACCAGCCAGAAATTAAGCATATAAAGTCTGAAATAAAGAATATACAGAAACTCAACTATAGATCAACATGCCCCAAGAATTAAACCAAATATCTGGAATATAAGGAAGCAAAAATCACCCAACCGATGAGGCAAAAAGAAATAAGAATCTAGAGGTGTGAGGATAGTGTCAGGAGCCTCTGGGACGGCTTAAAGCGTACCAACACCTGGATTTTTTGGGGTGCCAGAAGAAGAGAGTGAGCAGGATATTGAAGGCCTATTGGAAGAAATAATGACAGAAAACTTTCCCTACCTGGTGAAAGAAATAGACCTACAAGTTCAGGAAGCTCATAGGACCCCAAACAAGAGGAATCCAAAGAGGACCTCATCATAATTAAAATGACAAGAGCAAAAGACAAAGAGAAAATCTTACAAGCAGCAAGAGAAAAACAACTAGTTACCTACAAAGGAGTACCCATTCTGTCAGCTGATTTCTTAACAGAAACTATGCAGGCCAGAAGGGAGTGGCAAGAAATATTCAAAATTATGAACAACAAGAACCTACAACCAAGATTACTCTACGCAGCAAAGAATTGAAGGTAAGATAAAGAGCTTCATAGACAAGAAAAAGTTAAAGGAGTTCATCAACACCAAACCAGGATTACATGAAATGTTGAAGGGTATTCTTTAAGAAGAGGGAGAAGAAGACAAAGGAAAGGTAAAGAAATTATGAACAACAAAAAGACATCAAATACATACCTACCAACAAGTGAATCTAAAAATCAAGTGAATAAAAAAGCTGAAGAAAAAATGGACTGGTGAATATAATAGAATCAGGGACATAGAAAGGGATTGGACTAACAATTCACAGGGGGAAAGGGGTCTGAAGGGTGCAGGAAGAGATTGGGAAAAAAATCTTACACCTATGGATGAAGATAGTGGTGGGGGTAAGGGCATGGGGTGGCATTGGGAATCAGGCAGAGGGGAGCTATGGAGGGGGGAGAGGAACACCTGTAATAATCTGAACAATAAAGATTATTTAAAAAAAAAGTTCTTAGAGATGGGTAACATAATAAGAAGAATATATGCATTTAATAATGGTTAAGATGGTCCCTGGCCAGTGTGGCTCACTTGCTTAGGCATTGTCCCATGCACCAAAGGATTATTGGCTCAATTCCCAGTCAGGGCATATGCCCAGATTGTGGATCCTGCCACCTTAGCATGCAGGAGGCAGATGGATGATTCTCTCCTTCCCTCTCTAAAAATCAATAAAAATATTTTTAAATACTTAAAATGGCAACTTTATATTGCATTTTTACACTAATAACTCCTTATAACACTTAATTTTCTCTTTGGCTATATGTAGCAATCCTTTCAATAGTGTTCACTATGCTACTGTCTTTGTAATTGAAAAAAAAATTCTTCCTTCACAGGAAATGGAAGAGTTTGCCCAGAGCTCTGGAGAAAATGGTATTGTGGTGTTTTCCCTGGGGTCGATGGTCACTAACATGACAGAAGAGAAAACCAATGTGATTGCATCAGCCCTTGCCCAGCTTCCACAAAAGGTTAGATAAACTACCTTAGAGCAGAAAACTGATGAGTGTGTTAAACTCTGTAATGGGTCTGATTAAAAAATGTCTACATGGAAGGTAAAGTATTAAAAGAGCTTCAATGATCTTAGATACCAATTTGAAAAACAAAATACACTTGTCATGTGCTAAAGTAGTACAGAGGATGTTTTTGATGGACACTAACTTTGGCATTAACATTCTGATCACAAAGAAGTATATTTCAAAAGTACAGTGTGAAGTTTGGTTTGATAATAGTATTATAGGGCAGGAACAGATATCACCAAATCCTATCCTGTCATCTGCTTCATTTCCTTGCAGGATTCCTAGAATACTGTACACACTACAGATGTTCTCAGACTGGACTTAAATTTTAACATTAAAAGGGGAATAATAACAGTCTGAAAGGTATCATACAGTTTACCCTTGCCAGGTAATCTGGGTCTCTCTTACTTTCCCTGGATTTTGAATTATGCCTATTCAGTGTTGCAAGGTGATATTCAGAGTAAGAATGTCCAGGGCTCACCAAGCTGCATCCAGGTACCTAAGCCAGCGACCGTGATTTAGAGAAAGAGAAAAGCTGGTGTGCACAAAGGAAAGAGAATCTCCCTGAGGGGCTGGGCCCTGCTAAATTCTGAAGCAGGAAGACATAAAAGAAAGAGTGGAGGTGAGTCCTGCCCTCAAGGTGACCCAGTGTTTTATAATATGTGGCCCCAAAACAACCCCCCAGAATAATGACTTCTCCCGATTAAGAAGAAGAAGGGAATATAATAATCAACCAGAAGCAAGCCTAACATAGGATCATTTAAAATGCCTCACCCTTTTCCAAAAAAATATAATAGTAAACCATATTTTCTAATACATAAAATACAATTGTCTCTGTGTAATTGTAAAATACTTTTAGTTTCCTAACTAATGTAGCTTTCTCCTTAACACCTATGCAAATTTGCTGAGAACCTGAAGTAACTTTAACACTCAAATAGCAAAAAGATGTTAACCACTCACAAACTAGAATCCAGCTCACTAGTGGACTTAGAAATTGCTTGGCCATTTATCATGAATTAACTGTATTAATCAATGCTGCCAGTACATTGCAGCATGTTTTGTAGTGTTAACAGTAAGTTGAATAAAATTTACCGTCATCATCATATTTGATCTTTTCAACATGTAGATTTTTATTTACAAAGTCCAATGGCTTTCCTTTTCTACATTTTAAGAAACTTTCAATCCTAGCTAGAGTGATAACACTGGATAGAGTAAAACACCTCTTGGAAGTGGTGATTAATAAGTAGAAAACTAAAAGAAGCTAAACATAATCAATAAGCAGACATTATTTATTATTATTAATAAACTATTAAATATCAAGGTGACAATTTTCACAAATAACTGATTACATTGATTTTGTAAAGCAAATAATGTAAAACTCTAATAAGGTAATTTATGAAATTAGTGAATTAAGTAAATCACTTCCCCATGATTCAAAAAGAAATAAACAGGTTAACATAAAATCTGGATATTGAGAACAAGTATAAAAAATAGGTTAAGTAAATATGTAAATTATTAGTAATTTTCTGGGTTTTGCACTACAACTATATGATTACCTAAAATTTTATATGCTTGAATTGGTTATTAATAATCTCACTTGTCTAACCCCCAAAGTGTGAAACATCGTGATTGCACACATACCTGACTGAATAAAAAAATAAGTAACACACAATATGAATATGTATGCTTTTTACATTAGTGTTTTATTGGTTCTCATTATCAACATGTCTTATCTTCATTCTCTTATTTGTAATATGTCAGGAGTTTAACTAGATGTCTCTTAACTTATTTAGAACTAGAGGCCTGGTGCACAAAATTCCACTGGGATTGGGCCTAAACGGGTGGTCAGACATCCCTCTCACAATCCAGGACTGCTGGTTCCTAACTGCCCTTCTCTGCAGGCTTTGTGCCTTCCCAACTGCCCTCCCCTGCAGGTCTGGTCCCCACCAACTGCTCTTCCCTGCAGGCTTGGCCCCCTCCCAACTGTTCTCACCTGCAGACCTACACCCCCCTCTACTACCTTCTCTTGCAGGCCCACCCTCCCACCCCAATTGCCCTCCCCTGCAGTCCTGGGCCCCTCCATGCACCAACTTCCCTACCCTGTTGACCTGGTCTTCCTCAACTGCCCTTGCCTGCTAGCTTGGTCACCCCTAACTGCCATCCCTGCTTGCCTGATTGTCCACAACTGCCCTCCCCTAAAGACATGGTCCCCCCAATTTTCCTCCCCCTCAGGCCTTGCCTCCCCCCTCAAACTGCCCTCGCCTGTAGGCATGGATTCCCCCAACTGCCTTTCCTTGCTAGACTGGTCTCCCCGAACTGTCCTCCTCTGCTGGCTGGCCTAGTCACCCCTAACTTTCCACACCTACCCTCTCCTACAGGCCATCATGTGGTGGCCATCTTGTGTCCATCCACATGGAGGAAGCCATCTTTGATCACATCAAGTGGCCATCTTGTGCCTTAGTGTGATAGTCAATTTGTATATTACTCTTTTGTTAGATAGGATTCTAACATGATATAACTCTGCAGTTTGACTCAAGTAACACAACTTTCTTTACCCTAACAGGTTATATGGAGATATGATGGCAAAAAACCAGATACCTTAGGGCCAAATACCCGACTCTATAAATGGATCCCCCAGAATGACCTTCTTGGTAAGATTCTGGAAAACCCTAAAATCAGAATCAAGTCAACCAAAATGATAAAACAGTTCACTAGGATAGAAATAGTATTGCACATTTCTTATTGGAAACCTTAAAAATAAAATTGAACTTCCCAATATTTTTTCTCAGTCCTAGGGGGAAAGGATAAGCTATAACAGTTGGCATCTTATGGTACATGGCCATGTTTCTTATGACCATGAACAAAAGATCTTTACTTCATGTGTAATTCCTCTCTGAGAGAATATCTCAGCCCTTTCTCTAGTCTCACTCTGCCTCCTAATTATCTCCTTACACCAATCATTTAATCCACAGTAAGGGTTTATAGGTGCCCCTGAAAAATATCAGCTTCTCTTTTATTACCAGTGACTCTACATTTTCCATTGGGAAAAAAATAATCTTTTTTTAAAGTAATAAAAAATTCCATGATAATGTGTACCTATTTCTTCCTCTAATTCTTGTGCTACCACCATCCCATTGTCTGTTGCCTTGACATCTACATATCACACTCTGTGACTTCACTATTTTATTAAGAGAATATATTTCAACATGCACCACCACTTTATTTGTTTGTTTGTTTGTTTGTTTGTTTTTGAATATACTTTTTAAATCCAGAGTATTCTCTTTCCATTTGTCCACTGGCAACCTGTATTCGTTTCAAATCAAAAGAAACACACCTATCTTCTATGTAAGCCTTCACTGTCTCTACAACAGACTTAGGTGCCTCTTCCTATGAGTTCTGAAAGACATTTCAATGCAGTCTGAAGTGTAGACCAATCTGTTACTAAATACATAGCCTCTGTCAGTGCCTTTATTGCACAACTCTCATTTTACTCCAAGATTTATAATTCATAATTTGCTGAAATTCACTCCATCCTAGGTCATCCAAAAACCAAAGCCTTTATAACTCACGGTGGAGCCAACGGCATCTATGAGGCGATCTACCATGGGATCCCGATGGTGGGCCTTCCTCTGTTTGCGGATCAACCTGATAACATTGCTCACATGAAGACCAAGGGAGCAGCTGTCAGATTGGACTTCAACACTATTTCAAGTACAGATTTGCTCAATGCATTGAAGACTGTCATTAATGACCCTTCGTAAGTATCACATGTTTTTAATAGTAGTTATAAATAGGTCTTTTGTCAATTATTTGGCTGTTATGAATACAGCATTATGTTTTTATATCAACTTCTGTTTTCATTCATTTTTGGAATAGATATCTTCAAATTAACTCTGGGTCATACAATAACTTTATGACAAACTGAAAAACTGATGCCCAAAGAGATTGTACCATTTTACATTCCTATCAGCTATGTCTGAGAGTTCCAAATCTCTACATCATTGTAAATTCTTGTTATCATCAGTCTAGATTTATAGGAACAGAAATTCATAAATACATAAACTAAAAGACATATATAAAAATGTTTTATAGCTTTAGTAGTAATAGCCAAAAATTATTAATAATCTAAATGTCCATTGTCATTAAATGGAGAAATAATTTGTAGCATTGTCATACAATGAAATATTATATAGTAAAGGAATTAACCAATAACTGTTACAGAAAAGAAAAAACAAGTGAATACATACTATAAAATTTTAATATATAAACAAGAAAAACTAATTTATGGTATTGGAAATCAGAAGAATAGGTAATTTGGAGAAGGGTGTAGTAAAATGGCCCAGGTATGGGGTGGTTCTAGGGATTGTGGGTATATTGATATGTTCACTTTATAACTTTATTGATAATTTTGAAATTTTGAACTGATCACTTAGAATATATGCATACACTTATGAATTTCAGACATAAATTGAAGGTATGTCGTATAAAACGTATCTTAAAATTATAGGAATTAAATAGGGGGGAGGGGAGAAAAAGAAAACCAGAGACATTGAAGAAATGCTATTATTCACAGACACTGGGATGGTGGGATCTTGCCCCGGGTGGGAATGGCTGGGTGGTGAGGGGAAGGAGACATATGTAAAACTTTAGACAATAAATTTAAAAAATAAAAAATTAATTAAAAAAAAGAAATGCTATTACAGTGTGGCCAGGAAAAATCTCTCTGAGATGTGACACTGAGCTAACATCTCCAGCAAGAGATAGAGGCAGCCTTGGAATATTGCAGGAAATACTGCTCCAGGAAAGGGAAAAGGGGGACGGAAAGTACTAAAGTGCTAACAAAAGAACACATTTAGCACCTCCAATAAATAGCTAACTAGAAGAGCATTGTGACTACAGTAGAGCATGCTTGGGACAAAATGATATGATAGAAGAGGTAGCCAGGGGTCTGTTCTTATAAGGTACGACTGGGCAAATAATTGATTTGGATTTTATTCTAGATGTGATAAGGAAGCAGATAGGAATTTTGAGCAGGTGTAGTATTCTGTTGGGTTTCACAAAAAAGTATTTTGGCTCTAGGGTTAAAAATAGAAAAAGTGACAAAGAGAAGAGTAGAAATACAGAGACTTGTGATGAAGCCTTTCTCTTGCAGGGAAACAATTCCCCTTTAAAACTTCTAGAGCAATGGTTCTCAACCTTCCTGATGCTGCAACCCTTTAATACAGTTCCTCATGTGGTGACCCCCAACCATAAAATGATTTTCATTGCTACTTCATAACTGTAATTTTGCTACTGTTGTGAATCATAATGTAAATACCTGATATGCAGGATGTCTTAGGAGACCTCTGTGAAAGGGTCATCCGACCCCCAAAGGGCTCGTGACCCACAGGTTGAAAACCGCTGTTCTATAGTATTATTCTAAACTAGAGGCCTGGTGCATGAAATTCGTGCACTGGGAGGAGGGGGGTTTCCGTCAGCCTGACCTGCACCCGCTCACAGTCTGGGAGCCCTTGTGGCATGTCCAACTGATGGCTTAGGCCAGCTTCCCAGGGGTAGCAGGCCTAAGCATCAGTCAAACACCCTTAGCGCTGCTGCAGAAGTGAGAGGCTCCTGCCACCCCCACTGCACTTGCCAGCCATGAGCCTGGCTTCTGGGCGAGTGGCACTACCCCTGGGGGAGCTCACTAAACCACCAGGGGTCAGCTCCTGCGCTGAATGGGATTGGGCTAACACCTGCTCTTCATCATCCCGAGGAGTCCCAATTGTGAGAGGGTGCAAACCAGGCCAAGGGACCTCACAGGTGCATGATGGGAGCAGGGAGGGACATGGGAGGTTGACCAGCTAGGGAGGGACCGCAAGAGGGCTCCAGGGCATGACCAGCCCATCTCACTCCGTCCCAATTGGCCAGACCCCAGCAGCAAACTAACCTACTGGTTGGAGTATCTGCACCTCGGTGGTCTGTGCAGTTCATAGCAACTGGTCGACCAGTCAACTATCTGCCCCCTGGAGGTCAGTGCGCTTCATAGCAAACCATTGAGCATCCTTAGCATATCGTTAGCATATTATGCTTTGATTGGTTGAATGGACAACTGGATGATCAGACACTTAGCATATTAGGCTTTTATGACATAGGATATTAGGGGCCCAGTACACAAAATTTGTATACAGGAGCATGTCCCTCATCCCAGCCTGCGCCCTCTAGCAATCTGGGACCCCTCAGGTAGGGTTCCCAGGCCTGGTCAGTGATCAGGGCCTATAGGGGCATTCCTTCCCCCAGCTGCCGGTAGCTGGCCCCGCCACCACCACCACCACCACTGCTTGCCATCTATGTGGTGCTGCCCCCTGCCCCTGCCACCAGTCACCTCCCTCTGTGGGCAACAGATGTAGGGATGTTATCACTTGGCTGGCCAGGGCCTCCCTCTGTTGGGTGATTGCTGGCTAGCCTGCATACCTGCCACAGCGTCACTGGCTGGTGGCCTGGGCCTCCCTCTTTGGAGTGATCAATTGTGGAACCCCACATAGGGTGACCTGGGCTTCCCCCTGAGGGGCAATTGTAGGGCGATGGCAAGGCCCCCCAACCAATTGTATCATACCCACCTTGGCAGTCCTGGCACCAGTGCATGTCATAGCATGGTCGTGTGGAAGGTCATCCTAACAGTCGTTCTGCTGTTCGGTAGTTTGGTCAATTTGCATATTATGCTTTTATTATTATAGAAGATACAATTCCACTCTCCAACATATAGCCTATAGAATGGCTTCTATCACTTCCTTTACTAAAAATACTTTAACTTTTCCACTTTATTTTTCATCTTCACTGTTTAGAATATTTTTCAATGAGAAATTTTTAATTTAGAAGTCAAACTTTCTCTGACATCCAAATAAAACATACTACTTCTGTAGCTCTAAGGTATTTATGTTAAACCACTTGCTGGACAAAAACCCTTTATGGGTTTAAATTGGTTAGGCAACTTAACTTCCTTTCAATGTTGGTATCTTTGTGTTTCTCCTTTAGATATAAAGAGAATGCAATGAGATTGTCAAGAATTCATCATGACCAGCCTATGAAACCTCTGGATCGAGCAGTCTTCTGGATCGAGTATGTCATGCGCCACAAAGGAGCCAAACACCTGCGGCCAGCCTCCCATGACCTCAGCTGGTTCCAGTACCACTCTTTGGATGTGATAGGGTTCCTGCTGGCCTGTGTGGCAACTGCTGTATTTGTCATCACAAAATGTTGTCTTTTTTGTTACCAGAAGTTTGCCAAGCCAGGAAAGAAGAAAAAAAGAGAGTAGTTGTTTCTAAATCCTGAAGCTGATTTGCCTCATAGATGGGACTCCTTCGGTTTATTCAGGACAATGAGTTGTAACATAAGGATTCCTTCTTCCTGTGACAAAATGACTTTTCACAATTTAGCTTCTAAGATCAACATTTGTTTTCCAAGTAATTTAGATGAAAGTTTATTTCCAAGTAGTTTACTACCTATTTGAGCTAGAAATATTACATTCCAAACAAAACAAAAAAACCTTGGAAAATATTAAAAATAACTAACTCTTTGAAATTATATTAAACTTTATTGCTCTTATTCACAAGCAATACCAAAAATATTATTGAGTCAAACAGTGTTTTAAATATTGTGCATCAGACAAAAAGCATAAAGAAGTCTACACATAGTATTCATAGTATTTTGCACTCCGAGTATTTTAACTACATTTTGGTGACAATTTTGTAGCTAAGGAAACTCAATCATTGGAATTCTGTAAAAAGGTTTACCCTTTCATTTCATGTTGGGAGACTAGTACTGCTCCCTGGCTTTTACTATACATCCAGCCTCAGAATCACTTCTGACCTAAAGACATGGCAAGTCATTTGCCTTCATACAGTTCAGCTCATTTTCCAATGGAATATTCATTGAATTAGAAAGCTCTCTGTTTTCTGTTATAAAGTTGAGCTATTTATAAAAATCTTTTATTTCACAAACTAAATTACCTCTTTGTCCTGTCCTTTAAAAATGTTTACCTAACCTGACTGCTTTCTCTCTTATTTTCAGCCTTTAATAATGGATGTAAGGTCACTTGACTATTTTGTAACTACAAATTTGTGTTGCTTACTTCTTTCAACTTGCACCCAGTGGCCCTTCCCTGCCCTCCCCATTGGCAATCACCAGTTCTCTCTCTGTATCTATGAGTCTGTTTCAATTTTGTTTGTTTATTTTGTTCTTTAGATCAGGTGATTTTTATTCTTTATTTTGTTTATACAATGTATAATATTAATTGATTTGTGAATATTATACCAGTCTTGCATCCCTGGAATGAATTAAACTTCATCATGGTTTCTGATCTTAATGTATTGCTGGAACTGGTTTGCTAATATTTTGTTGAGGATTTTTCCATCTTGTCCAGGGATATTGGCCTATAATTTTCTTATTTTGTAGTGTCTTTATCTGATTTTGGAATTAGGATAATGCTGGTCTCATAAAATTAACTTGGGATTTTTTTCTTGAGATTTTTGAAAACTTTGAGAAAGATGGGTATTAGTTCTTCTTTGAATGTTAATAAAATTCACCTGTGAAGCCATCTAGTCATGGGGAAGTAAGCAAAGCATAGGTAATATAGTCATTAATATTGTGAAAATATGTATGGTGCCAGTTGGGGTACTGGAAATATTGAGGAAAACATTATGTAAGGTATGATTGTCTAACCACTAAGCTGGATAGCTGAAACCAACATATAATAAGTTGTAAAAATTTTTAAAGAAATATAAAAGAGATTTTTAATGCTAATTATTTTTTTCTTCTCTCCCCCCTGCCTTTATAGCATCAAATAGGCCATTAATTAAATATAATTAGAGATCTGGTGAACGAAATTCATGCATGGGGGGAGGGGTGTCCCTCAGCCCAGCCTGCACCCTCTTCAATCTGGGACTCCTCGAGGGAACAGGCCTAAGTGGGCAACTGGACATCCCTCACACAATCCAGGACTGCTGGCTCCCAACTGCTCGCCTGCCTGCCTGTCTGATTGTCCCTAACTACTTCTGCCTGCCAGCCTGATCACCCCCTAATCACTTACCTGCCAGCCTGATTGATGCCTAACAGCTCTCTTGCCAACTCAATTGCCCCTAACTGCCCTCCCCTGCAGCTCTGGTCATCCCTAACTGCCCTCCATGCAGTCCTGGTTCCCCTCCCTACTTCCCTCCTCTGCAGGCCTGGTTACTCTCAACTACCCTCTCCTGCAGGCCTAGTTGCCCTAACTGCCCTCCCTCTCTTTCTGTCCTTTCTATATAATCAATAGCTTAAAAAACAAAAAAAGAATATGTAGGATATATTATGTTTTCTTCTATTTTTTAAGTATATTATTTAGTATTCTTAAATATGTTCTTTAATATATATGTTCTTAAAATGCAGCAGTGTCGTGGTAACAATAAGGAAGGGTGGGCCTTTAAAGGGATGTTTCTTCCTGCCCCTGCTGCTTGGAGTCAGTCACTCCAGAGTTCTCTAATGATGAAGCCTAACATTCATCCAGCTGGCAAAGGAGAATTAATTATAGGATCCAGATTTAATATCACAAACTAAATTGGAAAACTGGTACAACAGAAAACAATATTCCAAATTTCTTATTTGTTAGCATCCCAAAAGTTTTTGTGCCTTTAGAAATTGCATCAGGTAAAATAAATGTATTTATTTCTCTGTATATGTTTTTATTGATTTCAGAGAAAGGGAGAGGGGAAAAATAGAAATATTAATGATGAGAGAATCATTGATAGACTGTCCCCCCACTACCGGGGATTGAGCCTGCAATCCCAGAATGTGCCCTGACTGGTGACCTCCTGGTTCATAAGCCCATGCTCAACCACTGAGAAACACCAGCCAGGCTGCATCAGGTAAAATTTAGGTGAATAAAGGGCATGGCTTTCTTTTAAAATGAGGTTTCTGTGTAAATATGTACACAGATAATAATTTAATAATAAATATATATATAATAAAAAACAATAAATAAATAAATAAATAAATAAATAAATAAATAAATAAATAAATAAATAAATAAAATAAAATGAGGTTTCTGAAAGTGGGGAAGTAAGCAGGTCCTAACAGAGGTGAGCTTAGAGATGGCCACTTGGTTTGTAGCCCCATCAGTTGCTACATGATCAGAATAGACATAGTGGCAGGCTAGAATCTTGGTTTCAGTGTAGGCTAGCCCAGTCTTGTTTACAACAGTCCATTTTGTTGGGCTGATGTGTAGCTTTCATCTTTGCACCCACTGTCAAGCTGGTCAAACACCTATCAAACCCGCACTAGAATGACCAGTTATTTGGTACCTCTTCTACAGTGTGCATTAATTTTACTGATCCAAAAATATATGGCAATGCATTTCATTGACTTAATTGGAAAATCTGTAGTTACTAATTCAGGCCATCTTTTTGTATTTTTGTTCATTTAGAATGTGTTGTTGTTTCATGTATGGCACTCATTTTCTACTATGGTGTTCTTCTACTAACTCTTCTTTGGTGTAGAGAAGTTACAAAGAACAAATTTGTTATTTGTAGAAAATCTAGAATCCTGGGGTCAGAGTGACTTGCAAAAAAACAAGATCAATAAAACTGGTAAAAATTAATGAGGAATCCTAGTACAGAGAAGATGAGCTTTGAAGCTGGGTTGAACAGTCATCATGAGGACATGCAGGTTGCAAGAAAGAATGGAATGAAATAAAAGTTGAGGCAAACACATTGAATCAGATCCCAAATAGTGCAATAAAGGTCAGAAAAACAATTAGAAACAAGAGAGCTTTAGAAATACAGCAAATAATTAGGAGGGTTCTAATGCAAAGCATTAGCAAATAACATATTTTAATCAGTTTTCTGGAAATTTTAGAGCTTTAGGCCTAGAAGGCTCTGTCAGTCAAGGTTCAGTCAGGAAATTCACTAATTTTCTCTATAGCTGATCTTGTTCATTTTTCTACTTATCCATTCAGTTCCATTTTATTTCATATAATAAATTATATATCATATAATGAATATATTTCTATTTTTTTGCAAGAAGGAGAAAAAGCTTTATAAATGCAAAAAATATCTATAGTACAAAAAGCATAATATGCTAATTAGACTGGACAGCCAACCGACCTTCCAAACATCCTTCCAGGTAAAGCTGCTGTAATGGGGGCTGAGGCAGAGGCAATTAGGGGCAGGCAGGCAGGCAGGCAGTTAAGGATGATACAGCAGACAGACAGAATGGTTAGGGGTGATCAGGCAAGCAGGCGAGTGATTAGGGGTGATAAGATGGGCAGGCAGAGTAGTTAGGGGAGATGAGGCAGGCAGGCAGCAAACGGTTAGGAGCCAGTGGTCCTAGATTGTGAGAGAGCAAAGGCTGGGCTGTGGGACCCACCCCCCTCAATACACGAATTTCATGCACCAGGACTCTAGTCTATGTATATAAAAGCCCAAGCTACTGGCCAATCAGTTGATTGGCCAACCAGTCGGTAGTTATGACATGCAATAACCACCAGGAGGCAAACACTCAATACCACTTGGCAGCTGCTGTTTTTTTGGGTGATGCAACCAGAACTAGAGAGGAGGGAGACTAATTCTGGGGTGCATGAGCTGAGAATTTCCCTCTCTCAATCCAGGACTCGTTGGAGGATGTTGGAGAATCAATTTCAGCCCGATCCCCGCAGGCCAGGCCGAGGGACCACATCAGTGCACCAATCTGTGAACCAGACCTGTAGTCATTAAATAACAGGATTTGCTCTGCTTTACATTAATTTTGGTCCCTTAAACTGATTCCAATTTGAATTCCAACAAGTTCTTTTACAAAGAAGGAACTAACTGAAGAGTTGCTTGCTTTTCAAACTCGAGGGACAAGAGTGCTCAAGGACTGGGATGCCCTGGCAATCATATCAATCAGTGCAAAATCTGCCTTTTATTAAAGACATTTGGGAAAATCCATTCAAAAATACATTGTGCTCAGTAAAAATTAACCATTTCATGCTGATAATTAAGATGACCATGAATAGATATTTGTATAATATTTACAGCAATAATGTAATTTTTGTAAATTTTACAAAAGTTTAGAATGGAATACATGCCAGAAAAAAAACTTGCTAAGATGTATGAACACATGGTACAAAGAATTATATAAACACTTTACAAATAATTCATAATTAGCGTATGAGGAATTTAAATATTCAACACTTTAAATTCAATTGGGATTAAAAAAATAAAAAAGGTTAACATTACAGCACACCCTTGCCACAGTAAAAAGTATAGAATTACACTTTGCATTATGGATTTATAAAGTCTGTGC